GTGTCAGAGCATTCCCTTCGCCTTGACCTCCAGCGACGACAATTCCTTCTTTTGCACCCTTATTCCATTTCATCACACGATGATTTTCTCTGTCTGACACGTAGACAGTCTGTTGTTGATCGACAAATATGTAGGCCGGAAAGTTGAGTTGATTGAGACCATCACCTTTGCCATTGCTACCAGCCGCGAGAGTTCCATTCTTGTCTCCTATTTGATATCGTCTTACTTCATTTTTTCCGTAGTCAGAGATGTAGAGATATCTCTGATCATCCATGGTCAATCCCCAAGGATCGACATTGTCGATGAGGATTTCTCCTTGAGTTGTGCCACTGCGACGAGACCATCGTACGACTCGTCGATTCCCTGGATCACAGATAATGAGACTATCAGTCTCTTTGTCGATCAGCACATCTGTTGGTCGATTCAATTGATCCAATCGATCTCCTTCGCCATTGCCACCAGCTACTACTTGTCCATTCGTATCACCCTTCTTCCATTGGATGATACCATTATTCCAGCAGTCCGTGATGACAATAGTTTGATCATCATCAACGAAGAGACCTCGAGGCCAATGGAGTTGATTGGTGGCACTGCCATATCCGTGAACTCCAGCAACGGTCACACCATTCTGTGCCCATCGGGCATTGGCTGGAATATTGGGAATCACTACAATGAACGAGAAAAAGAATCGTTATCGCCGTTATCTATGAATAACAAATTGTTCTTCTTCGAAGGGAACTTGATAAAACTTTCGAGAATGTCTTTCTCTAACATGCTCTAAAAAAGCGAAAGGTTCTGCTAGTTTCATAGGCAACAAAAAAAAGAACTTGGTAACGATTCTTTTGAGAAATTCGTGGGGATCCTGGGAAAGATTTGTTTTTTTTTTAGAGAGAAGCATTTCTGAAATACTGAAAAGATTCTATTTGGAACGTATAGGAAGTTGTTGTAGGAGTTAGCATACTTGAAAATGTTGAGAAGTCTAATGTTAATAGTATATTACCTATCGATTGGAACACATAGAGATTTTAGTCATAGTTCCAGCATTTTAATAAGGATTTGAAAGTTGCGGAAAAAGATAATTTTTTTTTATTTTTGAAAGATGTGTAGTTCAATTCTCAACAAATTCAAACTGTAATATAGCATTTTTATGAATAAGACGATCAACATTTTACATTTAGGAGTATTAAAAAACCAGCTACTTGCGGGGGATATTCCCATATCCACAGGGTCTCTAAAACTTACTGGCTACAGAAAAGGATCAGAAAAAGTGCATAAGTGCAGTCAAAACAACTTTTCGTTCGTGCTTTCAACAAACGAAAAGAGAGCTAATTATTAAACACTTTCAGAAACATCAATGTACGACTGTGGTGTTATTACAAGCAACGGTTCTTCTATGATTTACTTTGGCGCCCAGAGCTACAACAAAACAAGGTCTGCTTATGACACCAGATCGAGAATTCCGAACATTGAATCTTGTCGGCTTCGATCGGATTCAATCGGATATTAATCATTAGGCTTCATTGATTGTTCTCTTTCTGATTCACCACGATCTGTTAAATATATAATAAATATTAAGATTTTTCTTTACCATGGTAAAAAATCCATTGTCTGCCTTTCTTATCATCTTATTGAGAAAGAAAACGCGAGAGAAACCCTGATATAGTCAATAAACACAGTGCAAAGAGAATAATAATCCGTAAACTATAGCCTTATTACTATAATCTTCAACTGACAGGGCGATGGTTATAATCTGAGTCCCGTACACCTATAGATTAAGGTAAAGGTTTTAGTAATTGCTAGAAATGCTGTTTTTTCTCTGTTATTATAAACTCTTAAATGTTCAAAAGCGCAGCACTAGCTTAAGATAAATGATATGGCTCATACCAGAGACGGAAACGGGGCGGGGAATCGGGACAAGGCGAGGCGAAACGGGATTAAGTTAAAATTCCCGAACTTTCCTCGTGATAGTTCCACAACATAAATATCGATATATAGACTATGTATTTGAATAATGTATGCATAAAGATTTATGATAATAGTCTGTGTGCAATAGATTATCCATTCAACGCTTCGTACAAATATAAAAGTTCTCCGTTAAATATGAATAGTCTTTAGTGAATTCTTTTTTTATCGTGGAAGATGAATGGTAAAGACTGCAACAGAGAAAAGCAGCGTCTATTGATAGACTGCTTTCGCACACTAGACTCAACCCAAAAGTTTACTTCAGATGCTAAAACAGAATTTTATGTAGAATTTATTTATACATTCTTTTGCTCAATAAACATTTTCCACCTCTGTGTACAATCAAAATTGCTGCTTGCCATGAAAACATATAAATACTCAGCATTTCGCTAGAATTAAGGGTCGTTTTTATTTGTTAAATAGCTTTCTACACGCTATTTAAACATACTAAGAACAGAAGAGAAGTGTATTTATTTTATAGGCATCAAACCGATCTTTTGCGTAAAACTTTACTACCTGAAAGCGACATATAAAGTATGCCTATAACTATTGGGTCGAGGATGTTTTTAAGATATTCTGCAGCTTTTCAATAAGAGACAAAATTAGAATGTTCAATTAGGCACAGCATTTGATGCACTAAAGAAAATTGTTCACCTTGTGTGAAGAAAATAAAAACTTGATTTTTAACCTTCATAATTTTGTAGGTGAGCAGTTGGCATTTTTCTAGTATTCAGCGACTTTGGTGTTTCGAAAAAAAATCTAACGGTGATTTAAAAGAATGCTTCATTCAGATCGACAGAAAATTCTCTATCTTTTAACATTGGCACAGAACCGTTTGGTTGAGTTTAAATTGGCAAAAACAGTCTGTTGGAAACCTGCAGTATCCCTTGTTGGGCCCTTAACTAGTGTTCATGTGTTCATCTAAAAGTGAAACGGCTACTGTCAGTAACAAGAGCTCAAAAAGAAAAATGCTATAGTGCTTGCAGTGCATGTCTGTCGAAAGTCTACACCAGTAACAAAAATGAAGTCGATATTCATATCGATTTCAAATTAGACAAAGACTGTCCAAATTCGTACTAATTCTGAGATGAGTTGGAAAATATTTTTCCAGATTTCTTCATATTGGCATGTCACATGTATATAATGCCACAAAATTCAGCTGCTGCCGACGGAGAGTCTTTGGTAGCAGATGAAATTATCAACCAAAGATCTATATATATATTCTTTTGTTGTTATTCACAGAAAGAAACTGGACGGGGAATCAAGCGAGGCCCCGGGGCAGGGACTAATTTATTCGAGGCGAGGTGGGCAAGCCTTTTTTTCGGGCGAGGCGGGGAGCAAAAATTCTTCCCCGTTTCGAGCTCTGGCTCATACTATAGAGAAGATTCTGTTCATATGACCGAAAAATACATAGTACTGAAGACTTGCACGAAGGCATGAAAAAAGAGAGGAAAGGAAGAAAATGGAATGAGAAAATATTGGCAGAGTACAGTTGAATTAATTATACCAAAAGGTTAATTAGATATCTGTAATATGCTGGTGGAAAGGTGGTCATCTCTAGTTGACTGTGTGTAAAAGGATGATTGTTACTGATTATCGGTCTTTCATTTCGATGAATTTTCTCAAATGGAAGACACTCAATTTGTAATGGTGCTGAAGCTGGATAAATTCGATGCTGCGAAAGATTATACTGTGTTATTAATAGTGAAAGGTCCTTCAAACAATAGAAAACGACTATAATAAGTGGAAAATATAAATTACTGTAGTCTTTGATATTGTATTTATGATAAAAACTTATTATTCGAGGTATTTCCTTATATATAAGAAATTCTATTGATCACACAAAAAGAGCTTCTCTAGAGTACCAGCTATATACCTTTCCTGGTGATGGGCATGTAGTTTTGAAAATTTAGGGTGTTATTCGTGTGGTTACAAAATATTTTATATCTCAGTTAGAGCCTTCTCAAATCGGTAATAAAAGAGAAGAAGACACTTTTTTTAGCAAGTACCTATGCTTTTGTCTCACTATGCAACTAACACGAGAGAACATCAACCCTCGAAATTCTTTTTGCCTAAATAACTCTTGCTCATGCACACTGATCATATCGAAAGTATTTTATGCCTATTTATTACTAATTGAGCATTCAAGTCTTGTACTCAGTTAAATGTTTATAATACTAATCTCATGCAACATTCTAATCGATTTGGTGCTTTCATTCTTATTGCAGTAGCGAGATAAATATTGAGCATGAGAAATCATCCAGTTTTATTTGCAAAATAGTACTTCGGTAATCATTTTGTTATAATATTTCTTCATTCTACTCATTCATCAGCATGTCTGAGCTTATTTTTTTCGGTGGAATCTAAAAAGCATTCAATTAGTAATAAAATTATTGATGGAACCGACTGAATTCTGACAAATGAATCCTATCGGATCCGTCCTTCGGATTTCATCGGATTGAGACAGATCCAACAGAATCCGATGGCTCACTTTCGACCTGGGTGGCTATGAATTTGATGTTCATGAAAATGAAGTTCTGAATTAACAACTTACAACAATGTCAAAAGTCCAAAAATTGTTCACTTTACCTAATGTCTGCTAAGAATACGTGAGACTTTACATATCGAATAAAATCTGACATATATATCCATATATACAAGTAGTCATAGAAAAAGAAAAATAAGAATACTTCACCAGCGAACATTTCATACTTCCAGCGGATTTTTCTGTTCTATAAGGCATTCTCCTTCTTATATGAACTGATTCATTCGGATACAGATAGAATACGTTTCGATGAATTTAAGTCAAACGGGTAAATCTATTATATATAATCATATGTCGATACGTCTGATGAAGAACAGTATGTTTTAATACACAGACTTCTCGGCTTCGTAAAGCATTTTTATTTCGGTACCAGCTAGTTTCTTGACATAAATACAACAAAAATCGAAATGAATTGTATTCAAATCAATAAATCTGGTAAACTATAATAAATTATGGCGATAGGACATCTCTTTTCTTCTTCCAGTGAACTTTTCTGTTTTCTAAAGCTTGTTTCTTTTTATAAGAAATCATTAAAAGAGATGATATCCAAGTAATAGTTAGATATATTTGACGGCTAATAGGATATGTTTTAGTTGCAGAAAACTTTAGTCTTCTACAAAGAATTTTTCCTTTCATATGATTTTATATTATTGAGATGAATATAAGAGCGATTCAAACTTTTAAATTAATCGGGTGTATCTATTAGATATAGAAAGAGTGCTCCAGAAATTGTGAAATAATTATAAATTGCATTTTTCTCGGGATCAACAAAAGCAAAATCTTTAAATTTTAGCATATTAGATTACGTAATTAGTACTAAATAACTATAAGATTTCAGGACTGTCACCCTTGAAATGCATGCGATATCGTAACAACATTATTATAGTATTGTTCCAATTTTTTCCAATAATGATTTGAATATAAATCGGATCGAATAATAATTGTAATTATATTGATATTTTCTTTGTCATTTACAGTCATAAAGAAACACTAAATCTGTTCTATTAGTTTTTGATTTCTCGTTTAGTAGGTGTCTTTTAGTGTATTTTTGCTTTCCAAATTTTTCTTCTGAGAGACCTTAAACTTTTTCCATAGATCAAAAGTCAGCTAGTTTGGCAGTACAGTTTATTAGTTCAAGTATAGTGATAGAAGTATGGTTAGCAGCATACACAGTCATCTGCATCCATTTCTTTTGATCCTGATCATCCTAGAAAAATACATCTATTGAATTACCTGATTCTTTAACTGCTTTTCCTCTTACAACAATTCGAATGAATTTTTCATATTTGTACGACAACTATTACTTTGTTGTCTAAAATTAGTTTCAGTTTAAATAAAATTGAAAATGATGTTTGGCTTCGTCTTGTTGAATTAAAATGTCAAAGTAATATTATCCGACAAATTCGTTTAAATCAACGAAATTATTTAATTTCATAAAATGAAAAATTTCAACGACGAATAAGTGATATAGAAAAAAAAACTTTTTTGTTTCTAAGAAAATAAACTTTTAGAAAAAATGAATTGACATACTTGACACAAAAGAAAATTTAACAATTGATTCAGAAGAATTATTAACAATATTAAATAATTTTCATAATGATCGAATTATAAATGAAAATTCTCTTAATAAACATCAAGTTCAATATGAAATGTTATGTTTAAGAACAGGTTGTGAAGCCTACAGAGGAACAGCTAAACATTTACCACAACTTTATATATTACTAAGAGATTCTAATATTGAGTTAAAAATTCCAATAAAATGGTTTATGCAAATTTGTAAGAAATAATTTATCATGAAGAATTGAGTTTAGATATGATTAATAAAGCTCAAGCAAAAGAAAATTATCTTCGTTGTTTTGAATCAATTTATTCTTATTTTTCATCAACTATGTCAAATGGTTATCTTAAATGGTTTCTTATTATATTTGCATTTATTATTAATAAACTAAATTCAATTAATCAAAAAATAATTCCAAATATTCTTGAACAAAAAGGATGATTTATAAATAGTTATTCTTGGTTATTATGTTTTTCCAATGAAATTCATTGATTATCAATGTGAATGAAAAGAATATTTATTTTCAACAACTAAACTTGATTTTGTTAATAAATCTTCATTAGAAAAAGCAACAACAATTACTATTATTGATCGATTTATTCTTACGATTATTGTACAACCTAAAAAAGTCTCGAGAAAATTCTTGTTTTTTTTTAAATATTATTTACTATTTCATTTATTTAGATTTTTGAACTAACTCGTACATTCTTGATTTATCATTATAGTGGTTTTCTACATGATAAATCGTTGTCATATCTTTTGATGACATTTACCGAATAACGAGTAGTAAGATTCTTAAACTGATGAATCATATAATCCTTGTTTGGGCAAGTTAACGATAATCTGATTGCTTAATAGTAAGAATTATCCATTATATTTTAGATTCATCTGCTTTTCTTAATCTAATTGATGGAATTCGAAATTTAGCCCATAAAATGAAACCCTCTCTTCGACTTGTTTCACCAATTGATAAAAACGTCTTAATCATTTGATTAAAAGCAAAAAAGAAAGATTGTTGGTTAATTATAACAGACATAATTTTATTCAATGATGATCTTTTAAAAATTCGAGTAAAAATAAGTTGAAATATGAAATAAATTTTTTCAAATCAATTATTCTATTTTAGGATCTTATTCTATCATCAATTGAAAATAAAATATGGCCTATTTGTGATCCTTCATATGCATCTAAAGTACGTTGTCAGTTTTGAAATAAAACATTTAAAAAAAAATTAATTTCGAATTATTTTATTCAAAGTATGATTAACTCAACGATGTCTACAAGTTTATTTAAGTGATTCAGCTCAGTCATCTCTTCATCTTCATTTAAAACAAAAATGTTATCACCAAAAAAGAAATTAGAAATTTAGAAAAAAAAATTGAACAAATTCTTAAATATTCATAGTTATCTTATCAGAAAAAAATACTTTTCAAATATTTCAATGAAGTAATTTCTATTTAAATATTTTATTAAATGATTTTTCGCTTTTGTTTTTAACTAAATAGTTTTATTGAAAATGATTTTTATATTGATTTAAAAGATTGTTTCAATTAAATAGTAATCAATTTTGATCTATTTCTTTCTTTATATGGAGAAATACTAGATAAACTTTGAAATATTAATCTATATTGACAACCTTAATGAAAAACAATTCTAATCCATTGAAAAGAGAAAAGTCTTTTTGTTAAGAGAACAGTGACGCATGAAAACAGTAAAATCCGCTAAGTAAAAAGAAAGTTCCGCTGAGAAATAGAAAAGTTGGGTATAGTATGAGTGTGGCATAAATTTGATGTTCTTTTAATTGACTAGCAAAGTCCTTCTATTCACTAGCGAACTTTAGATAAAGTGGACAATTTGGGAATCTTTGACAGCCATCTACATTATATGATAGGTGTGGGTGTGGGTGGGTGTGGCTATCTGAGGGTGGCTGG